TTAATGTTCTATCACATTCTTCTCATATTTTGCATGACTGTAGTAATTACACGTTGGTAAACTTACAGGCGACAGAAGAAGATTCATATTTCTCATTTCTTCCTCTAGCCCATGTGTACGATCAGATAATGGAGACCTATTGCATCTACAAGGGTTCATCTATCGGGTTCTGGCGTGGGGTAATTTTGATCAGTCGATATTCTTGCTTTTATGATCTTACCTCCTAATTATGTGAACTTATGCGGTAGTTTGTGTGTTAACTTTGCAGGACATCAGGTTTTTGCTGGATGATATTCAGGAACTGAAGCCAACAATATTTTCTGGAGTTCCTCGGGTCTATGATCGTATTTATTCTGGTGCATAATATGTTCTTGTTTCGTGTTCTTCATTTAGTTATTATCCAATGTTTTGAAATTACGTGGTTTACGTAATTTCCATAACCTTTGTTGTTATAGGTATTCTGAACAAAGTTTCGTCCGGAGGTAGTTTGCGGAAGATGTTATTCGATTATGCATACAATTAGTACGTTCGAATTCTGTGTTCAATATACTGGTTTAAGTAACCTTTATTATCTCCTATTGTGTAACTGACAAAGAGAGTGCTAACAGCAAGCTAGGATATCTGTCGAAGGGTGTGCCCCAGGAAAAAGCTGCACCTCTCTTGGACAAGCTTGTATTTGACAAGGTTTCTCATTTATTCTGTTTATATATGTTCATTCAAATATCAAGCTTATTTGCATAATATAAGTGCTATTATATTGTGAAAGATAAAAGAAGCATTTGGTGGAAGAGTTCGTCTATTTTTATCTGGTGCTGCACCTTTGCCCAGGCATGTGGAAGAGTTCTTGAGGGTTACCAGTTGTGCAACTTTAAGCCAAGGATATGGTATGCAATATAATATTATCAAACTAGATTTACCCGAATAATTCTCAAGTCATCTGAAAAAATTAGTGCCAGCTATCGGAAAAATTGAGGCAAAAAATTCCGAGTTCGAAGAGATCATAATGCATTAATAATTTTTTTAATGAGCTCGTATCTTATTGCAACTTTAGGCCTTACAGAAAGTTGTGGTGGATGTCTTACATCCATAGCCAATGTTTTCACCATGATGGGAACTGTTGGAGTTCCAGTTACTACCATTGAAGTAAGGCTCGAGTCAGTTCCTGATATGGGGTATGATGCACTGTCAAGCACACCTCGTGGAGAGATTTGCTTGAGGGGAAGTACTTTGTTCTCTGGATATCATAAACGGCAAGATCTAACAGAAGATGTTCTTATTGACGGATGGTTTCATACAGGTAAAACCTCACAGTAATATCTATATTATAATTAGTGGGATTATAAGGGAGAGTTTCTCGACATATTTTACCCTTTTTCACCATCTCCTCATTTTAATTATACGTTTTCATATCCGTTTTGTCCTTGCGTTCCTTTATGGAAATTGTTTCCTCAAAAGAATTAGTTTCTCTTAATTTTTTGACCATGAAAGCTAAACAAATTAGTAAAATTAGGTTGATCCGCTGAGATCTCAAATAAGGTGCGAATATAGCTGGAAGTTCAGTTCAAACACATCTGTCGTAGAGATGTGTTTCATAATGTGTGAGATCCCACATAGATTGAAGAGGGGAACGACATCGATTGGAAAGGAAAACGAGTGTCAACGAGGACGTTGGGCCCCGAAGAGGGGTGAATTGTGAGATCCCACATCGGTTGGGGAGGAGAATGAAGCATTCTTTATAAGGGCATGAAAACGTCTCCCTAGCAGACACGTTTTAAAAACCTTGAGAGGAAGTCCAGAAGGGAAAACCTAAAGAGGACAATATTTGCTAGTGGTGGGCTTGGGCCGTTAAGCTCTCTCTCTCTCTCTCCACCGGACCTTACTTGTGAACATGATCTTTTCTATAGGTTGTACAACCATGTGCTTGTCTAAAACACTTTCTTTCCTCGAGAGAAAAAATGATGCATCTTAATGATTTAAAGAAAGCCAACATCCATAATTATTACTAGGAATAAATAATATTTCAAAGTGCTTTATGCTTCAGCACAATTGACTTGAGCCATTTTCACTCAAGTCAACATTCCAGCCCCTTCTTTTGACTTTCTTGATCTATTATTATACTGGGCCACTAGTGTTGGTCTTCCATTCTTTCTTTTTAATATTCATAAGGTCTATGCTAACTTTTGCTCAAATCAACTAATTTTACTTGATTACTATTTGATGCTACAAATTTTTTTCGTTTTGGTAATTAGGAAACTCGTAGAATTTTAAACCCAAGCCTCCTAAGTTATGCACACTTGTTCTATGTGCTCTTGTGACCACTAAGCCTCCTAAATTATGCACATTTAATTATGTTGCAGGAAAGTCATATGTTAAACTGATTCTTTATACGTGCAGTTCGTTATCTATTTTACGTATAACCTTTTCATCATTATTAAATGTGTTTCAACGCTTTTTTCTAATCATCTGAACATTTGGTTTATGAATGCCATTAGCTATTTACTAGAACAAATGTATACATGTTACAGGGGACATTGGCGAATGGCAGCCTGATGGATCGATGAAAATAATTGATCGGAAAAAGAATATATTTAAGCTGTCCCAGGGGGAGTATGTTGCAGTGGAGAACATTGAAAACATATTCTTGCAATGCCCTCTGATTACCTCGGTACTGCCTACTGGATAGAAATTGATTCTTGCATAACTGAGATACATTAGATGACAGTTTTGTTTTATTTGGATGCTTTCTCAAACATATTGGAATTATGTTTCTTCACTTCTAAAATTTTAATTTTAATCTTTCCATTACTCATTTTTCAAAAAACAATTTCTGTCGCATACAGATTTGGGTCTATGGAAATAGTTTCGAGTCATTTCTTGTGGGTGTGGCGGTTCCCGATCAGAAGGCCTTGGAGGATTGGGCACGGAACCATAATGTGACTGGTGACTTTAAATCTTTGTGTGAGAATCTCAGTGCAAGGAAGTATATTTTGGATGAGCTCAATAGCAATGGTCAGAAGCACCATGTATGTGCCGTTTAGATACTCAATTTTGATCAGGATATTACTGTTTACAGACACTTCTTTATCTAATCTGGAAAAATATTTGGCAGCTTCGAGGATTTGAGCTATTAAAAGCAATTCATTTGGAACCATATCCCTTTGACATGGAGAGGGATCTGATAACTCCAACATTTAAATTGAAGAGACCACAGCTGCTTAAATACTACAAGGTATCACTTATCCCACTTTCGGTTAAATCCTAGCATTTCTACTGTTCTCTTTTGTTCTGAGCTTCTTTGCGTCAGTACCGAATCACGCATCAGAGCATGTTTTGAGTGTTAAACTGTGTATCATAACATCTGAGGCCGCTGCTTGATTCAGTGTAGTACTGTTTATGTTTAAATCGTTGCTGATTTTTTTTGTTGAATTCTGCTTTGGCCCTTCGGCTGTGTTTGAAAAAGTTACCCATATCATGAAAAAAACATTTATATGCATAGTTTCCCTTCTCTCTTTATATGCGCCCAAGGTAGCCAAGGGAAGTGCATATAACTTTACAATTGGCTGTGATTTGAGATGAATAGATATATATTTTTTTTAAAAAGAATTCTTCCTATGCACTCCCGGGCGAATCTATGGTAACTGCCTAAGCCCCCGTTAGCCGATATTGTTCTCTTTGGACTTTTCCTTTTGGACTTCCCCACAGTTTTTAAAATACAGTCTGCTAGGGAGCGGTTTCCACACCTTTATAAAGAATGTTTCGTTTTCCTCTTCAACCGATGTGGGATTTGGATTTAAAACTTTTTTTATAAGGGTGTGGAAACCTTTCCCTACCAAACGCGTTCTAAAAATCTTGAGGGGAAGTCCAAAAGGGAAATCCTAAAGAGGACGATATTTGCAAGCGGTGTTGCAAATTTCTTATGGAAAAGAGATTCTAGCCTTTGCAACTTAAAAAAAAAAAAACTAAACTACTCTCCTGCCTGTAATATTGGGCTATTGACATATAAAACACCACAAAATTCTTTGAAAAACAGTTTTAACAGAAATTGTTCCTGAAAAAGTGTTCCAGACAACAGTTGACCTCACCTTGAACTACGCTCAAAAGTCTATTTACAGCTTCTCGTACTTCAAACTTCGTTGTATGATGGGTGTTTATCTATTGATTTGCAATGCGAACTTTATTATGTTTCATTCTATTTGGTTACTCTCTTGTAATTCCACGTGCAGGAGAGAATTGATCAACTATATGAAGAGGCAAAGAAGGCAGCAAAACCGATAAGTTAAGTGTACAAATCTTAGTAGCGATCCTCGAAATCCTAATAAAAGGAGAGAAATATGTTAACTTATGAAGAAATTTTTGTGCTGACTTTGTGGATGAACTTGAAAATTCCATAGAAAATTAAGTCTTATTATAGAAGTTATCAAAACATGACTTCAATTCTAAACTTTGCACACAAAAACAAAGTAGAAAAATGTGCATTTGTTTACGGGAGATCCCACGTCGATGGGAGAGAAGAACAGAACATTTTTTATAAGGGTGTGGAAACCTTTACTTAACGGACGCGTTTTAAAAACTTTGAGGGGAAGCCCAAAGAGGACAATGTTCGCTAGCAGTGGGCTTGAACCATTACAAATATTGTTAGAGCTAGACATCGGATGATGTGCCAGTGGGAGGTTGAACCTTGAAAGGGATGGGGGGAGACACGAGGCAGTGTGCAAGCAAGGACATTGGGCCTTTAATGGAGGGTGGATTAGGGGGTCCCACATTGATTGAAGAACTGAACGAGTGCCAGCGAAGACGTTGGGCCCTGAAGCGAGGGTGAATTGTTAGATCCCACGTCAGGGAGAAGAACAAAACATTCATTTTAAGGGTGTGGAGATCTCTCTCTAACACACGTGTTTTAGAAACTTTGAACGAAATCTCAAAGAAGACAATATTTGCTACATTCTAAGCCACTTCTTATCTTAAGGACTTAAGGACTATTCTCTGGACTATTCTCTTGAGTTGGTAGTGACTTAGAACTCTTCAACTTTGCCTTTAGAAAGTTGTTTTCCTAGCAAGTACTTTCAATGTGGATAGCCACTTCTTGTCTAGATAGCCACATTCCCTTGTGTGGTATCCACGAACCAAGAGAAGTGGACTCATTTACCCTCCCATCTCTATCCATCAATCAATCAAGGGATATCAATTTGTGGGATATGACTCCAACAGACACATCATACATGTTTCATATTATTAAAAAGGTGGCCTAAGTTTTGTTTTATTATCGAGTTATATTCATGTTGACTCATTTTTACGTTCTTTTTAGTAGTTAAATTATATAAATTTTTTTTATTATATCAAGATCACATTTATTATTAAGTCAAATCGTTAGAGGACATTTGTTTGGAAGTAATTCTATACCGTAACACTTTTAAGTCATTTAATCCTGAGTAATTATGTTTATTTCATCAAATATTCATTAATTGTGAGTAATTATGTTTATTTTATCGAATATCCAAGTTCTGTATTGGTAACAATGGAAAGGATCTGTTAAACAATCATATATGGGTGTTAAGAATGGTCAATGATATATTTAAAAAAATTAAATAAATTTATTGTAACCAATTCATTTAAACTCAATCATGAGAGTTTATGAACACTCATCTATTGAGTTTATGGATGATTTAGAGAAATGTCATTCTACCTCATCTATGAGTTTATGAATGATTAGAGCAATGTAATTCCACCTAATCTTCATTAATCATCTAAATGGTGTGTGGATATCGAGAAATGTCACAAATGTCGAGAATATAGGTTGAATTATACCAAATGTCGTGAACTTTGACCCAGAAATGATACATTGGAACCAATATCAATAGGTTGATTGTTTCTCTCTTGCATCTTCCAAAAGGAAAAAAGATCTCTGAGAGCTGTTTCCTGGATCTGAAAGAGAGTACTTGCATTCTCCCAATAACTAAAAAGTGTATCATGTCTGAATCTAACTGGGAAAAGTGTATCATGCTTGAATCTAACTGGGGTTTGCGGTGGTGGAGGTCAGAAAAAAGAGGGATTCCAGTAGTAAGATATTAAATGAAATCGAGGGATTCCAGTAATAAGATATCAAATGAAACCGTCGCTGAAATTGAGATCTCATACAAACAGAAAGATATCAAATATTGGAATTTCTTTTTTGTAACAAATTTCAATTATGTTTCTAAATTTTTAACTTTAAAATTTGTTAAAAATAAATATTCTTGAACAATTATTTGTATAATGACTGAAAAATAATTATGTAAATAGTTTTAAATGACCTATTTGTAAATGAAATAAATGTAAGAAAATTTTTAATCTTCTATATAATTTAAATAATAATATCACGACCACATAAATAATTATGTAACACATTGATCCTTTAATCTTCACATTCATAAACAGGTATTGTTTCACATTTTGTCCCACAAGAACTGATAAGACAAATCTTTCGTGAGAGAAATTTCTCATGCAACTTTACACTGATCCAGCCTACAATGATACAATCACCCAATTGCTAAAAAAAAGAAGAGTAAACCCAAATCTCACAGCCCACATTCCCAAACACCACAAAGAACAATGCATAATTACATTTAACAAACCAATCAAAGCACACGAACTACCAGTGCCCAGACAGGGAAAACAAAGAGAAGGATGATACCAATGGTGTTTGAGATGCCATTGGCTTTGGTGAAGGAGTTTCTGAATCCACCAGAGGCTCTGATGTGTTCTTGCAGCAAATAGCATGATATGATCAGGCAGATTGCTTCTCCAATGGCGTCGTTCCTCATCGTGCTCGCAAACAACCCCGGAGCCACCACAATGAGAAGTATTAAAGCTCCAGGCAGTTCAAGCCAATCTGTATTTCCAGGCAATGAGAGAATGGAATGCAATAAATAGTAGTTTATGTGACGCGAAATTTCTATTTGATGGAAGCTTTAAGTTATTAGATTGGAGTATTGTGTATAATTATGAATGAGGTTGGGGATGTTATTTGATCCTTTAACTTTGGTGAATCAAATTATCTTGGAAATGTGTTTTAACTTGAAGTTTTGGATCTCTTGATTACTTCAATGATCTGTCTAATTTCATCATAAGCTCAAAGATGCTTTATCAGCCAGCAGATTTTGTTCTTCATAAACCAAAAGTGAATTCAATAATATGTGTAATCAAGTCGAGAACGAATTACCTGGAAATCGTCGTGGGAAGAAGAGACGGAGCACAACAGCAATGGCGGCGACCCATTTTCCAAACTCTCCCCTGCAAGAGAAAGCAATTTAGCCAGATACAACAAAAACGCAATTCCAGGAGCTTCGTTTGAAGCCAATTGCTAGGGTTATCGCTCAATTGTGGAGATGATCACCTGAGAAAAAAGAAAATCACTCCAGGAAGACTGAAGAAAATGTACGGAATCAACAACGAGGTAAGGATATTCGTCTTCCAGTTCGTTCGATCCAAAATCAACAAATAGCTGCAGTTACAAAACACGTTAGAGTTCAAAATTGTACAAAAACATCAATAGAAAAAAGAATTGGAGCGGAATCAAAATGATCCAAAAGAAACCTAAAAGAAAATTCATCGAAAACGAAAACGAAAAAAGAACACTCAGTAAGTCAATGATTCATAAAGCATTACAGAAAAGCAGAAGCACATTTTGTAACACGAATCACTTCCCTAACTAAATCGTTCTCATACTCCTCAATCGATTCAACACACAAATCAACAAAAAAAATTACTCAAGTTGAACAGATACCGATCACAAAACACAAACTATTGCGCAAGCTTTTTACTCATGAAATTCAACTATCAAACAAATACCAGGAAGAAACAGAAATAAAAGCATAAAGAAAGAGGGAAATACATACATAGCAGCAAAGGAAGCAAGCCATTGGAGGAAAGCAGCAGGAAAACCCGAAGCACCAAGCTGAACAGCATGTGTAGCAAGCTTTTTAGCAGCGTTACCAAGCTCCCGAAGATCATTGGAGATCAGATCCGCAGCGTCAGAATCCGTCACCATTTTCAAGTAGCTCGGTTTCACCATCTTCAGTACACCTCTTCGATCTTCGGATCTGGTGAAAATGCAGAAGAAACAACAGCAGAAGAAGAAGAAGAAGATCGAAAGTTCCGAAGCAGAGCAGAGAGACAGATAGGATTTTGCTGTAAATAAAGAAATGGATTGGATCAAATTGTAGAAGACGATGACCTTGCAGAACCGCACCACGTGGACCTTATAATTGTGGGCCCACTTTTCTTTTATTTTCGCGATTCTTCCGCCACGTGGCATTCTGACTTTTTTCCATTTTAAATTTTTTTTATTAAAATAAAAAACATTTTCGTTATTGTTTTGGTTACGTACTAAGCAGATGACTTGTAATACAAAAATTGCTTCCCCGCCTTTAATACACGTGTTAAATTCCCATTCGTCCACGTCTATTATCAATTTAGATATTTTATTTTATTTATTAAATTATTTGTTAATTCAACCATCTCTCTGTTTTTATTTTTTTTTATTTTTTGAAGAAATAAAAATATTAAATTACATTTTGTTTACCCTTTCTTAATTAAATTTAATTTAATTAATAGTAGTTTAATTATTTTGATATTATATCAAAATCAAAAAATGATTAAATACATTTTTAGAATTATAATTATTATAATTCAAACATAATTTGAATAATATGGTATTATGTTATATAAATTTAAATAAGTTTTTTTCTAAAGCTCAATGGGCTCAAAGCCCAAGTTTGATGGGGTTAAGCCCAAGACCAATGTGGGTCAAAGCTAACTCGGCCCAAACCCACATTACTCAGCCCAACCCACTTTTAACTCAAACCAATGTGAAGATTGAAAGCTCTGAAAACTAAACACGTGAAGGTCGGTTCCAACTAAGGGTCACTTTGGAAGCCATAGTTCAAGCGAAAATATAAAATATTATTAATTTAAGGTTAAAATTAATAAGAATATTTTTTAATTTTACATTTTATTTCAAAAATATCTCCCACCTTTAAAAATTAGAATAATATTCGTAAAAAAAAAAAATTATAAAAGTTAAAAGAATGTTAATGCTATTTTTAAAATTTAATGGATATTTTTCAAACATAATAATAATAATAATAATAATAATAATAATAATAATAATAATAATAATAATAATATATATATATATATATGTGGTTAGAATTTAGATTAACCGGGTAGGATTTATAATTTTTAAATATGTTTTTTCTATACTCTATTTTCTTTTTTTTTTCAATTACATGTATTTTATGTAATATAATTAATTGGCTCAAAATTAAATTATAATTAATAATAAAAAACTATAATTAATAAAAACTTAGTAATTATTAATAAATTATTATAAGTGTATAAGATTAATGGTATATCTCATTTAATATAATTTATTCTACTGTATACAATATTTAATTTTTAAAATATAAAATGTGCTAAATATTTATCGTTAAAAATTTATATATTTTATCAAAAGAGAATTATTAAAATTATCACAAAATAAATTCAAAAACCTAAAATTAAAAATACTAAAATAATTAAGAAAAGTTAATTATCTATAATTAAAATATCTTTGATAGTTATTTTATTTTCAGATATTTTATTTTTAAACCTTTTTTATTTTTTTATTTAATTTAAAATAAATATTGAATCAAACCGTCATTTCTTCTAGAAACGAGAAATCCGGTAAAAGTTCCCATAGCCCGCTCGCTACTCACCTCTTCCGCCCGATACGACACGACAAATCACTATTTTTCCATCGCAGAATGTTCAAAATCGCCTTTCAATTCGGATTCTATGGAGTGGGGACGACGAACGTGGAATGGAGAATCGGTAATACTCGAACAAGTCTCTTCTCCAATTTGACGTATTGTATGCATATTTGATTGTAATAATGACGAACACCTACCTTTGTTCTGTCCCTCTGATCGATTTTCTTGCTACTTGAACGCGTTGATTTCCGCCATTGGATACTTTTTTCTAGTAATCCAAGTCTTCGCTGCAGTCTTTGTGTTGACTGAGTATGGCATTCGCATTCCCACCATTTTCTTTAACAGGACACTCATTTTCCATGTGCCCTATCGTCATAAAGTCTTCTGATTCGACTTTCTTGAATGTGGGCTCCCACGAACTGGAGAATCGCTACTCCTTTTTATTTTTATTTTTTTGATCTTTGTGTTTTGGAGGTTTTGTTAATTGATTATGCTCGATGGGCTTGGATTGGGATTTTTTGAATTTTGTTGTTTAATCGGCGAGTTATGGTTCGGATTCTGAAAAAGTTTTTCCAGGAGAAGCCTGCTTCTCCTGTTAATGATGAAGATTTCTCTGCTGAATGTTCTTTTGCGGTCGAGTATACTGGTCCTGGAATCAATTACGAAATTCCCCGTGTAGTTCCTATCAATGTCGATGATATTCCTACTGCTTCTCTTGTTGTTTCATCGTCTCAGTTCGGCGATGATTTATCGTCGCTGCCTGTGATACAACCTATCTTGAAGAAACTGAAGAGGGGCTCAAATTCCATCTCTAATTCTGTTTGTCTTGGTGCCAATAAGGAGGATAATGGGGAAGATGAATGTAATATCAATTCATGTGATGGAATTGGAAGTTCTGGTGAACTAGAGAATTTCTATGAGCAAAGGGGAAGATTAGGATCATTGGAAATTAAGAATGAAGAGGATTTTCAAGGTTACACGAATTCGAGCGATTCGGAATCGGAAGAATCCGGTCGGAGCTCATCTTCTGGGATTTTTGCTGTAAGAGAGGAGGAAGATGATGATGAAACTCAGCCACGGCATGGAAGAAGGCCTTCAGCTGTTACCTTTCTTGATACTCATTCAAGTCAATTTGAGGATGAGAGTATCCAAGAGATGCCTAGAGCCGAAAGGAAGGGGAAGAAAGGGTCGTGCTATTACTGCCTCAAAGGGAACCGTTTCACTGAAAAGGAAGTATGTTTAGTTTGTGGAGCCAAATATTGTGTTGAGTGTGTAATAAGAGCAATGGGATCAATGCCAGAAGGAAGGAAGTGTATCAGTTGTATTGGGTTTAGGATTGATGAATCAAGAAGAGATAACCTTGGTAAAGCCTCTAAAGTGCTCAAGAGGTTGCTTACTGACTCCGAAGTTAAGCGCACGATGTTGCGTGAGAAGTGGTGTGAAGTTAATCAGATCCCAGCAAGACTTGTTTACGTCAATGGTGACCGTTTAAGTCGCCAAGAGCTGCTTATGTTGCAAAGTTGTCGAAAGCCACCAAAGAATCTAAAACCAGGACGGTATTGGTATGACAAAGTATCAGGCTTCTGGGGAAAGGTCCTCTCTCTTTGATTGATTGATTTTGTTTGATCTTATGAGCATGTCGAAGAAGTCATTTGCACCATGAGAAGTTTCTTACTTAGTTTTGAACTAAACAGGAAGGACGTGGACCGAGTCAGATAGTTAGCTTCCAGCTCGAAGTCGGAGGTCGGATGAAGAGGGACGCTAGCAATGGCGATACAAATGTGTGCATCAATAATCGAGAGATCACTAAACAAGAGCTCCGGATACTGAAGGTGGTGTTGTTTATCCAGCGTTTATATTTAGTTTAGCTTTATTGAATCATAAGGACGTGCAAATAACACAAATGGGATCATGTTGCTTGCAGATGGCTGGAGTACCTTGTGAAGGAAGGCCTTCTTTTTGGGTTAGTGCTGATGGATCATATCGAGAAGAGGGAATGAACAATCAGGGGAAAATATGGGACAAGGTAACATTATGCGATAACGTTTGATTTTTGCTGCTCTATCTTATATATATGAAACTCACATGAACACTTAAGTACTTTTCTCTGCAGACTAGAACGAAGCTTGCTTGTGCCCTTTTTTCTTTGCCTATTCCTTCTAATTCTGCACCTTCTGGAGAGGAAATAGTGGACAAAGCTAGTTATGTTTGTCCCGAGCTGAAACCGATTCATAAACTTCTACTTGTTGGCCACAAAAATTCTGGCACGAGTACCATATTCAAGCAGGTAATTTCAGTACTAATACTACATTTTATGCTTCATAAACTTCTACTTAACCTTTCTTGGTTGTACTTGGGAATATCTCCCACAGCTAGTGGATATTGTCCTCTTTGGGCTTTCCTTTTTGAGCTTCTTTTTCCCTCAAGGTTTTTAAAACGTGTATGGTAGGGAGAGGTTTTCACACCCTTATAAAGAATGTTTTGTTATCCTCCACAACTTATGTGGGATCTCACAATCCACCACCCCCCTTCGGGGCCCAACATCCTTGCTGACACTCGTTCCTTTCTCCAATTGATTTGGGTCCCCCTAATCCACCTCTCTTCGGGGTCCAACGTCTATGTTGGTTTACCGCCTTGTGTCCACCCCCTTCGAGACTCAGCCTCCTCATTGGCACATTACCTATTGTCTGGCTCTGATACCATTTGTAAGAGATGGAGACCATTGCTAGTGGATATTGTCCTCTTTGGACTTTCCCTTTTGAGCTTCCCCTCTAAGTTTTTAAAACGTGTCTGCTAGGAATTGGTTTCCACACCCTTATAAAGAATGTTTCGTTCTCCTCTTCAACTGATATGGGATCTCGCACTATCATTGGTATACTACAAATAATATTGATATAAAATGCTTATCCTGTATACTTCCTGAACAGTGATCATTTCTTCATTTTAGGCCAAACTAATATATAAAGTTCCCTTCTCTGATGACGAGCGTCGTAATATAAAGTTCCTGATTCAAAGGAAGTTGTATTGGTATCTTGGCATACTATTGGAAGGACGGGAACGTTTTGAAGAAGAGATTTTGATGGACGAGAAAAATAAGAAACCCGTGAACGATCCGTCCTCCTCGTCAGCATCAGGTCTGTTGTAATTCAATTTTCAGATGTGTTTTCTTCCCAACAATGAATAACTTGCATAGAATGTGTCCACATTGATGCACTTTTCAGTCAATAGATTATGATTTCATTGCAACTACATGTAGGCCCAAGCCCACAACTAGCAGATATCATCTTCTTTAAGTTTTTCCTTTTGGGCTTTCCCTCAAGATTTTTAAAATGCGTCTGTTAGGGAGAGGTTTCCACACCCTTATAAAGCATGTTTTGTTCTCCTCCCCAACCGATGTGGGATCTCACACTACATAGTCAGCTGATTAATGAGTA